CACATATTAGGCACTGGGTTATGCTGGTCAAGGTAAAGTGGTGCTAATGAAGGACGGAGGGCCGAGAACAAGTTGGACAGCCAAAGCAATTTACCAGTCAGCTTCTCCAGAACGGTGACTGTGCATTTCGGGGATGACTGCAGCTGACGAAGTAAGGCCAGCAGACGGGCAAGTTTGGCGGGATCCAACTGCACCACGAAATGCTCGAAATCAAAAGCCCATCCAATCCATGTCACACGGGCAGAGAGCTCGGCCTTGTGCCAACTCATGGGATCATGGACATGCAGCTGCACCATGCCTTGCGCCTTTGGGCTCAAGTATCCTTTCGTGGCTTTGTAGTCTGAGATCTTCTGTAAGCAGATCTGAACAGTTTGGCCTCCCAGGCGACCTCCTTGGCGAAGCACCTGGCCCCTCTGGCGACCTGCAAGCGCCTGGCCGCCGAGCTGAAGGCCGTGACTGAGCGCAGATTCCGTTTTTGAAGTTGCTTGTCACTTGACATCAAGACGAGAAATCAAAGAAATGCATTCAGCTCTGACACGCAACGAGGCAACCAAGAGTTCCAACTTTCATTTTTTTGTGACAGCTTGCTTTGGAGTTGCTCATCAGTCGGTTGGTATAACGCCAACCATGTGGTGCGCAGCTGTTAGATCTGTTAGTATGTTGAACGTACAATCAACGAGTTTTCGTCTCCAGTGGCACTGCGAGGCGAGGCAAGCAGAAGAACAAGATGAAGGCAGCTCGAGGGTCGGTTTACATTGCGTATATGTGCTGGGTCAGTCGAAGAGCAGTGCTTTTTTGGATGTTTGTGCCCTGGAAAGCTGGATTGCCCCATCTTCCTGACTGAAGCTGCGTCAAGTCTTCCTGTTGCCAGTTCTTGAGTGGGACGTGGATTACTTTGAGATCGTGGACTGATGCGGCTGATTCAAAGAGCTGGATCGAATTCGGAGTGCATCTGGCCATGACGTCATGTTGAGGCATTGACGGTGCGCTGTTGACATGCAGTGAGGATTGATTTCAGATGGAGAAAGCCACCAGGCTTAAGCGCTGCAACGCATAAGATATTTTGCGAGATATGTCCCTGCAATGCTAGGCATTGTAACTTGTAACGCTTTATATGTAGTGAGGAGTACTATAATTCACGTGATTCCGAGTGTAATATCCAGCCGTTCTTTCCATCTCCCGGTACCGCGTTGGGCGCTGAAGAGGCACGAGACAGTGGGCTGACTTGCGTGATAGTGCCTTAATCAAGCGAAGTGCGCGCGGGCCCCCTCTCAGATCAACGTGGCTTGCTGCGACGAAGGAAAATGGTCGTACTCTTGTGGCCGCATCCTCAGTTTTGTAAAACCTTGTTTATCTCTGCAAGGCTGCACTTGCTCAGTGCCGGATGGATTTGTTGGTGTTGCGATCTAGGGTTCAACAGGCCCAAGCCGGCCATGCTAACTTTGAGGCTTTGGTTCTTGCTTAACTTCGCCTTCAAGGAACGGAACTTCCGACAAACATAATTTTCAATGTCGACCCTGGCATACCCTGGTCATGTTGAGGGTTCACTCGCCGTCTCCACTTCTCAAGCCGCCAGCGCGCTGGGCTTGAGCCTGAAATGATTTGTCAGCTCGGCTTTGTCATTCGACGTGCGGGCGCAGGACCCGATGCTTCGAGCGCATCTAGCAGTCATGTGTCTCTGCTGTTAAAGGTGGAGGATGGCCATGCGTCACTGTGAACTTGGAGCATGCTCCGCTTGCTGCCAAGGCGATTCCTTCCAATCAAGAGGCAGGTTCGCAGTAGTCCAAACATATCCTGTGCAGACACTGGCCCAGCGCAGGTTTGCTGCATTTTGCTGCGACACGGTCTTGAGGCGCAAGCCTGCTGCAAGCTGCGTGCCGAAGGTTCGGCATAGTTGCAGGTGGGGACAGGAACGCGCCAGCACAATGCAGGCAGAGTGACTAGCTTGCCCGAGTTCCGCTTAACTTTTTGTTGCAGATGTCGATGATGTCACGCAGCGAACTAAAAACCCGCAAGATATTCAGGTAACGCGCAAACCGCTCTGCGTGACCGCCACATACCGCTTCCTCGGCAAAAAACCGTCGGGCTTGTCATGGCAGGATTGCCTGGGTGCCCTGCTGATCACCCGCAGCGCTTGGGCCTCATTGTGTGTGCAAGTCTTCCACGAGAAGCAGATCCACGGTGGACTGCTGAGATCCACGGGTCAGCATTTCCCTGGGGATAAAAATCAGCATTCGCGGTTTCAAGAGTTGGTTTGGGGCAATCATGAAACGAGCAATTCCCAATGCAGGTGCCGTGCCACGATCCACAAGTCTCTCTGGCGCAACTTGCTGGTGTGTGAGATGTTTGATCTCGGGTGGTTGAGGAGACGTGTTTTGTGCCTGATCTCAGGCCTTAGTGCAGGCCAAAGAGCTCTGCCAGGCCAGCCGTTTAGACGTGATGGGACCCCACGTGACGGTGACGCCAACCCTGCCTCCCCGTATGTGCGCAAGCGCAAAAGGCGCCTGTAGGGAACAGCCTGCTTCGCAGGAGGCGCTCCTGCTTCTTTGGGACCCTTGGAGGCCTTCGACATGCGGCGTGCGCTGAAGTTTGGATCTGCGCTTGCTCATGTAGAGTTGTTGCGGAAAATGGGATGAGCCTCTGGCAAGACCTTGAAGATCCTTGAAGCATTCTCCACTCACAGCTGCTCCAGGTTGTTGATTGAGAATTCCTACGTGTGAACCCGGACGCCTGGGTTGCGCAGCCAATGCTGCGGACTGTGCATCGATGAGCGCGTTTAACAACAAGTGGAAAGCTGAAATCACTGTACGTCGGGGCAGGGCTTCTTTTCATTGTGCAACCATGGTATAGCATACACTAGTAGACAGTAGATGATTGTAAAGTGATTGGGCTGTGCAAATTTGGTCGGGCCGGCCTCGCGCAGACTTCAAACTTAAGTTGCGATGCCGCAGTATTGTCTCATGGTTTTGATGAACCGTGTGATTAGCGTTTCTCAGTAATTTGGTGAGTTGGGGCTACTGCAGTTCGCAGCTTGTTATTACTGCTTTGCCATATTGGTTCCAAGCAATGCAATCTTGTTTGCCGCGATGTCAACGCTTGGGTGAATCTTGCATTCTTATCGACCCCAGGTCGTTTCTCGCTGTTGCGGTGTTTCTCCTGTGGTCCTAGGAACTTATGGCTGCTGTGAAGAGGCGAAAGATTCCAGAGGCTGGAGCTGCATCTCGTGGATCCTCAGCCCCGAAAAACCCTCAGAACCTTGAAGAGCCTCCTTGAATGCAACCCCTAGCCTAAACGCTTACAACCGTTCAGCTCTCCGGTGGACGCTGAGGCTGGACAGGCTCCTTTGCCCGAAGGTGGCCCTACCCTCTCAGGCCTTAGTTACACAGGTTTAGGGCTTGAGGTTTGGGCTCTGAACTCCTTGAAGGGGTTAGGGGTCTAAACTCCTTAAAGGGGGCTATCTATGTTGATTATCTAGGGCAGTATACAGTATTGCAGGGGTTATGAAGGGGGATACTAGGAGTTTGGACTACAGCTCGCATGTGGTTTGGGGTTTAGGCTCTAGGGACCCTCTTAGAATGGTTTGGGGTTCAGGATTCAAAAGGGAGTTTCTTAAGATAAGTATCGCAGACTTTTCAAAGAGGAGCCCTACAATTCCCCTCAAATCACTACTGATCTCCAGGGTCCCCACCGGTATAGCATTGTGGACTCTGGATGCGCGACCCAGGCCCGATTCAGTGCTCCAATGCGTCTAAACAACCTGCAGTTTTTCAACTTAACAGCTTGAGGCTCAACATGTGGGGTGCCGAAAAGTAGGGGATCCTTGAATATAAGAGGGATTGCTGCATAGTTGGGGGTTTATGAGGGATGAAAGCCATGCATCTGCAATCGAAGGCAATTAAACCAAGCCGCGCTGGCTTGTGAAGCATCCTGCATGAATTCGGTTCGAGCGGCCAAAGGCGAAGATTGTAGTGATTGCGAGACTGCTCAATGTGGGATCTTTTTTTGCCGAGCTTGAATGCAGAGCATTGACTTTGTGGCTTGGTGCTTCTGGAGATGTTGCTGGAGCGCTTGTTTTCAACATCGATTTCGACGCGCTCCTAAGCAACCTCCTAAAAGGCTTGGACAACAACTAAGAAGTGGCCGACAGCACTGGCAGGGGCCAAAACCTCCTGGCTTGCGGCTCTCCAGAGGTCAGATGAGCTATGCTTGCCTTTGACTTGCCGACTGTGCCGCATCATGTCAATACAATGGATGCCCACATTCAGACTCATTTTTGGGATGTATAATAGGTCGCTAGGTCAGACGCCAAAGAATGCAACTACCCCTCGGCGACAGCCGGTATCATTGCTTTTCTTAGCTTGCGCCTCATTTTGACTTCTGCTTTCATTTGCCTTGACGTTTCTCTTTGCCGGCCCCTTTCCCCTCCTCGCCCCCGTTGGCTGGTCAGAGCCACAGGTTTCTTTGCCTAAACCTTTGCTCCAGGATCAGACGTGAACCCGCAAACCATGAGCAGCAGGATGCGTGAACCCATGCCTTCCTTTGATGTGAGCATTGGGCTTGGCTGGAACATTGCACGGTGAGACAATTGGGATCGCAAAGCATCCGTTTGTGACGATACGTCAGCAAATAGTAGACAGTAAACAACATGAACTTGACACAGGCATCGTAGCTGCGATTTCAACTATTATGGCCAGATGGCGCCGAAAGCAACAAGCACGGCCAAGGCCACATCGGCACGGCGAACGGACAGGCTTACTGCGGCATGTGCTGACATTTGATCTTATTTCCGTGAGAGCAGGCGATCAGCCAGCCCAAATTCGAGTAAGCCGTCGCCGCGAGCAAAAAGCCGAGCGTCCTCTGAGGCGCCCGGCAGGCTGGGATCGTAGAAGACGCAAGCTCCGCCATACCCTTGCCCACCTGAATAGCATGGGCAACTGCAAGCACCGGAAGAGCTCTAGAAGAGGGCGATGCAGCACCGGGTGTGCAGATTTGCCGCTGGTGAAGTGATCCAATATAGACAGGAAGGCAGACGCAGAGGATGTTGTCGTGAGGACACAAAAAGAAGTATGGGGCTCAGCACTTTGAGGGCGTGCCGTTCAATAACCACCTTGCATTGCAGACGCTGCCAGGTCGGAAGTCTTCCAACTTGGCGAAACAAAACAGCTCAAGGTGCTCCATCTTGCCCGTAGCGAAGGCATAGCCTTTCTGCTCGCAAGGCCTTTTCTGCGACCCCTACATCGAGGCCACTAACCTGGAGGGTGGACGCTCCTCTCAGGCCGGTACAACACATCCTAATGTTCTGATGCTTGAGCTGTTTCAAGCCGAAGATCCTGCAGGCTCTCCGCCCGGGCCTTACCCACAGCTGCACAGGGCGCAAAGGTCCAGCTTTGTCGGTCGCCACCCTGGCCTCCACAGCCTGAGGTGACGTCATTGACGTTGGGGAGGATCTTGTCAGGTCCAACTCCTTGCCAGTTCCAATGAGCAATTCAGAGACGGATGCCCTCCGTCAGAGACCAAGCTGCGTGCGGCTTCGGGTGAGTTTGCATTCCCTGCTTCTCACCTTTACGTGGACACAGGCCACGTAAAGCGCAGAACCTGAGTACTGCAGAGGAGCTTTGGTACGGTACAGTTAGTGCAAGCACGGCTCCCAGGTGCGGCACTGAAACTGCTGCGCGCGGCCTTGCAGCGGAGCAATGCTGGCACTGAAGCCTTCGCCGCTCAGGCCATCGCTTAATTCCTGTCTGGTTTGTGCGTCTTGGTGTCAGCTGGAGAAGACGTAGATCCTAAGCTGCGCAGTCTTGTCCGTCTTAGCCGCAACGAGAGCACAGCTGTACTTGCTTGGGCTCCATGATTTTCAGCCAGCGTGGTCTTGTGAGCTTGGGCAGCATGGCGTACTCCAGAAGGAATGTTCATGAGCTTGGAGGAAGTCCTTGGCAGGGAGGGCGGCAGGGAGCACTCTAGTAAGTACTTCGATGCCACCTTGTTCTGAAGCTTATGCTGGGTGTCGCCAGTCGTACACGGCCCGCACTCGTAGCTTTCACCCAGGTCAGCTTGCACTTGTCCGGATGTTGGGTTCAGTCTGAGATATTCCCGCTGTGCAGCTTCTGCCTTGAGAGGCCCGGAATATCATGCTCTAAATGCAAAAGGTGGCCGTCCTCTCTAGAACCAGCCATGTTGTTCGGAGCTGGAATCATACTAGACTCAAATCATGCAACCTAGACTGCATGCTCTCACTTGCAAAGCATACATGAGAAGAACAAGGAACTAGGGATGCCTTTGCTCCATGCAGAGCGCAAGTGAGCAAATCGAGAATATGCCTAGAAGCTCATGCCTTGGGCATGATGGACTTGACAAATACTTGAAGAACTCCCAGGAGTAGGATGTGATCAAGTCTGAGTTGCCAGGACGGGATGCGGTGGTGTCAACAGATGCAGTCCTTCGCTTGCACACTTTCAAAGCTCGGCTGATATCTTGCAGGCCGACAACAGGTAGGCTGCACATGGGAAAACAACATTGTGAATGTGCCTGATTGTGGATGAATGCTGCGGCAAAGGAAAGAAATCTATGCCCTGAGTGTTGGCGACACGTGGTTGGTGGAGGGGGGCTGGCGAGGAGAACATGGTGGACATGCCATAATGCACCTTAGCTTCAGGTATATCAGTGAAGACCTGATCATCCGGCTTTGGCTACGCTTGCGTCCAATCTTCGGCTGCAAGTTTCTGCAGAGCATCATGCCTTCATTCACATCATTCACAAGGCAAAGAGGAAGCAGGCCATAATATTGCAGTCCTGTGTGTACGCGGTCGCAAGGGCAAGTGGGGAAATCCGGGGACAGATGGGATCTGTCACTTCAAGCTGTTGAAGCTTCAGAAGCACTGCTGCCAAGTGCTGGCTAGCTTTTCATCTTTTCTCTACGCCTCGTCCGTTCCAGATTCAGGAAGGATGGCTTTGCTTCAAGTCTGGCTTGTTTCCAGGAGCTTCAAAGTGAATGAAAGAAAGCACATCAAACTGATGCGAGCATATGTGAAAACTGGGTACTATAGCTAGCTGCTAGCTAGCGTGGGGGAACAGATCGCCCTGGTGAGGTACATGATCCAGAGATGCTCTGACAGCTCCCAAGCAGCACATAGCCATGTCAGCAACGCATGCACCAATCTTGTGCAGCATGAGGCGAATTCTCCTTCTCAGTGTTGAACACTGGCGCTGGAATTCATCAGTTTCAGGTGTGCGATCCTTCCATGATGCAAGTGGGAAAAGCCCGCTACCGTACGAGGCCCTAAGCCGCGGACATGCCCCAAGAACTCAATGTTGTTGTGGCAGCCTGGACTTCACACATGCTGTCGTCGGTGTGAACATTGAATTTTCATGAATGTTCCTACGCCTTCCGAAGAGTGTTGTCCCCCGCTGAGAGGCTTTGCCTGTCTCCGATCAAGAAGGCATGCCTGGACTTGCCGTTCCTTTACACCCTGCTGCCTGGCAGCCACGTAACCGAAGTACTGATGGCAAGTGAACAATGTGAGCCTGAATCGTTGTTCCAAGACACCTTACGGAGACCTGCCTCACACTCCTGACAACATGCGCTGCGAATTTCTAGTGGGATGCCAACAGCCGTGTTTCCTCGTTGAGGGTATACTCGTGGCTGCACTCGAGCTGTAAGAAATGCTCTTTTTTTGGGGCCGGCCCTACCTCAACTCCACGTTGCTGTGCAGAGTTTCGAGTCATTTTTGTACATGTAAACCGTAAGAAGCCTACTGCAACTTACGCCCTAAGCCTTGTGTGGGCACGAATATTCCGGGAGCCCATTCCCATGACAATCCTTGCGAAGCCTTATCTGATACTGTATGATAGGGTAGATCCAACGCAGCAGGCAATGAGACACATGCCTCGTTTTTCAGATTGCAGGTTCAGTGTAAGACTTACGTCTTGCACCGATCGAGGTCCGCGTCACTGATGACACCTAAAAGTCCCAAACGGCTTGATGTGGCGTAGGCCGGCACACTAGGTCGCAATGTTGAGGTTCCTCTTCAGAATTGAAAATGCCGTCGAGCCAGGCTTTTCGTATGATTCATTGCGTGTGCTTGCTGGGTACTTGTAACGCAAAGCTCATGCTGGACAGGCGTCCTGCGCAACATCATGATAAGCTTGCTTTAAGGGCTTATATGCTCGATGTGTTTAAGCAGTCTTGGGATTTTCTACATCCTCATGGCAGCAATCTTGCTAAAACATGCGGCTTCTTTACATGTGCCTTCTCAAGTCGATCCGGCAATGCTTCATTGCTGTGTGTCTCAGCTCTCCTGCACGTGGCGGAGCCGTTGCGTGTTTGGTGCTGCAGAAGTAGAATGTGTGTCTACTGCACTCATGGCCCAACTGGACAATTGTAGGGCTGGCCAAGCTAAGATCAAGCTGGAAACATTTGGGCTGCCCTTTTCTCGCATGCGCATGTTATCCAGAGGACTCTGACCTCTTTCACTGATTCTGTTTTGCAGAATTGGCGTCTGAGGTTTCAGACTTACTTCGTGCGCCACCGCAGTCATACCTGTGCCCAGCTGTATGAAGTTTTGCTGCCGCTGCTAGAAGCTACAGAACCTAGGTCCTTCTTAGTTCCGTGTTTGTACAAGAATTATTTCTCTAAAGCAGCCTTGGATAGCTTTTGAGGAAGAAGGCGATGCTTGGCCAACCACACCCCAGCGAGCTGGCACTTGCAACTCGACAGCATGTGCTTATGAGGGTCGTTCCCATGACTCCAGCTGTGGCGTTGGAGTATGATTCTGCGAGATGACAGGCTATACGAAGTGCATCTTTCTGGCGCTGAAGGTGCTATTGGGCCAGCTAGGACTGGAGACGGCAGGGTTGAAGAAGTGGATGCTCAACTTCCGCATCTTCTACCTTGAAAAGATGGTTGAAGACTTACAGCAGTCCTGCCACAAGCTCACTATCAGTGATCGAATTATTCTGATCCGCGCTTAGTATTGCCTTAGCTTGCTAGCCCTGCATTGCTTGGAAGCTGTCAGATCAAACCGCACTACGAAGCTGCTGGACGTTAACAAAGGACTGTGGCCTTGAAGCAAGTTGCTCGTCGTTGCGTGCGCCAGAACTCTGCATCGGTCGCCCGCGGTCGAGTCCATGTTTGTTTGCAGAAGATTTGGTTGGCTGCGCCCCCAATGCCATGGCTTGGACTTTTTGCAGCAAAGCTGGAGACGAAGGATCGCCCATTGGAATTCCCGAAGAGCTCAAGGAGCTTCAAAGGATTTCAACTTTTGGCAGCTAGTGCCACGATACCTCCGGAAGTCCAGAATGCTTTCGCAGGGCCTTCCGCTACAAAGGCAGCCAACCCACATGTGGACCTCACCGGCATTGCGTCTGCAAGCGCCTCCGGTCCCAGTCTTGATGCTGTGCTTCAAGCTGCTTTGATGTGCGCTCCTTGACAGCCCTTGTAACAGCAGTGACCATTGATAGGACTTGGTGTTTTGAAACCCCACTTCAAAGCACGAGCACGCAACAATGGCTCTCAGAGGCCAGTAGCCACATGCATGCAAAAGAAAGTGTTGGCCACATGCGCGGTGCTTGCCATGTTGTTGAATGAGGATCGGCTGGAGGAGGTGCTCAGTTGCTCCTACCGATCCAAGCAGTTGATCGTTGGCATCGTGGAGTCCTTGGTTTTTGCAGACGGCCGAAGCCTCTGGCTAGTCGACCTCGGTGTGCTTTCGCTGGCTCGCGGCAGGGAGGTGCCAACAAGCCTGGGAACAATCCTTTATGACAGTTCATTCAGTTGTGGAGTGCCACGTTGCTGCAAGAGCTAGCAGCTAGACTGACCAGCAGCAGATGTCCACTGAGGTGCTGACTGCCATCCACCGTTTGGGGTCACACCTTTTGGCTGGCGCACGCTCCAATTTTCTCGGGCGATGCTCGGCTGCCTCAGCGCTGCTTGCGCTAGCAAGCCTCCTGGAGCTCTTCGAGCGTGTGCTGATGGTGACGAAAGATTCCAAGCTGGCCACGGCAGTCGCGGCAGCCACCTCCAAAAGTGACAGAGCTGGAGGCGGAGCCCTTGGTGCAGCTCTGTGGTCCCTACGCCCTTGGCAGAAGGATGGGCGACCCCCCAGCTTGGCAGATCTGACTGCCTGGATGCCGCTGACGTCGCCTGCCATGTTGGAAGTGCGGCGCCGCCTTTGCAGAAACCAGCAGAAGGTTGAAAGGGTTGAAGGCACCACCTGCAGCCTGTACATGGAAGAGCCTTCTGTTATTCTTTTTGGGCCACCAGAGCATCAGGGCAGCGAGCTCTCCTCTACGGAGGCTGTTGGTTGTGGCAGGGCCTTCACGGAGCTGGTGACAAAGTTGGTGTCTTTGCATCCTCTAAAGATGCCCAACATGCCCACGGTCGACCGGCCCTACCAGGACTGGGAGGTACAAGTGGCCTGGGCCTTTGATGAGGGTTTGGACACTGCCTGCCCAGAGTGGGCACAGGCTCGCGACTTAGCAGTTTTCTTTCAGATGCTCGTGGGCAGCCTCCCAGCGTTAGCCCAATCGCTTGAAGGGGGCGCGGTTCCACCAGCTGCTGATCACGTGCTGGCTGCAGGCAGCGTGGGGAAGTGTGGCTTCAGCCTGAATCTCTTCAATCCACCCTGCAAGCTCACGGTGAATCTTCTGCACAGCTGCGTCATCCCTTCACGGCATGCGAACTTCCTGTTCAGCCAGCCGTCGTTGGCCCATCCAAAGGTGCTCTGCCCATCTCTTCCGCATCTTCGCTTTGGACGCAACTTGGAGAACGAAATCGCTTCAGCCCCGGCACTCCCGAACTTCGACTTCTCGCTGACTCAAGCTCAGGCGGAAGCACTGCTGATGATTCTGAACTGCCCTGGGCTTCGCATCCCCATGCTGATCCAGTTCGTGGTTCCAAACCACATTGCCTTGCTTCACAACCGGCAGTTCCAGCGGATCTTCTTTGCTTGCCTATTTGAGCCAGGCTCTTTCCCAAAAGACTCCAAGGACGAGAAGGGGTCAGCGGCACCACCCAGGGTCGAATCCCTCCAACAGGCCGGGGGGAAATCTGCCATCCGATGTGTCTTAACTGTAGCGGCTTGCATTGGAGCAGCCACTTTTCCTCTACACTGTACACATTAGAAGAACAAATGGTTTGTACGGAATTGCTGTGTGCATTTGAGACCGGTGGGTTGTGGGGAACTAGACGAGGCCCTGATGTGTGCTCCAAATAGGGACCGAGATTACCAGATTACATGGCTTTTCATGAACGCATGCCCCCAGCTGCTCCACTATAGAAAACCGTCGTGGCTCACATAGCCGCATCTGCCTCCAGGCCCAGGTACCTTGTATTGACCCATTGGCCGTGGAATTCGGGTGGCTGTGCACTGAGATGGCTACGAAGCAGCAGCTCCGAATGTTCAGGGCCAAAACTGCAAGCAGAGAAGGGTGTGAGATGGGCTGAGGCTACGAAGCCTCAGCTGCTTCTGCCTTCCCTACATCAGCTCTTTGATGCAGTCAAGGACCTAGGAGCCTGGACGCATCAGTGTTGAGGGACTGTTTCGTTTTCACGGGACTTCACCCTTACCCATTGGAGCATGAGGTCACCTGCACTCACATGCGCACATTTTTTTTATTCATATGTCCGTTTATCATAGCTGCGTCACGCTTGGTTTCGCGAGACTTGCAAAGCAACTGCTGCATGAGGAAATGGCAGCTCTGAGGGTCCCCTGGTGCAGCCCTTCCTCTTCGTTCTTCGCGTGGCGGTTCTCTTGCAGGACCCAGAGTGCGCGAGGGAGACCCGCTGGTACAAGACGACGTACACGACGTTCTTTGTCTGACAAATCTGTGCAGTTGAGGACTTCGTGGAATGGTCTCGGCAATCTGCCACGGGAGATGCCCTTGCTTGTCTAAGTGCACCACGATCTGCAAGTGGCAGTCAAGGGATAGAGCTCTCAATGACCAAATGGCCTGAGCCCCTTGGCGCTTGCCGAGGAGCACAGCAAAATCTTCCGTCGCTTCACGCAGAAGCTGTCGAGGAAGATCTTGGCTCGATGGATCCGTCAGGCCAATGTCTCTAAGATCCTCGTGAGCTTTGGAAGATCTTTTGTCAGCCTTATAAATTAAGTTAAAGCAGCCTTCAAGAAACAGACCATGCCTGCATGCCATGGTCCAGCGCTGCAACAAGGAATTACAACGTGCTCATGCAGTGCCACGCGCACTTGGCTATGCCCTTTGGCCGCTTTTAGTGATGTTCGTATCTTTTGGTTCTTGCCTCAGTTTACGATCCATCGGTGTCTTTCTGGTAAGGACTGCTTGGGCTGTTCGTGATCTGGAGCCTGATGATGTGCAAAGCCTGGCGGCGGCCTCTTGCACCTTCAGCCTGTGGAGCGAGCAGCTCCATGCAGCCAACGCTGAAGCTACGGGCGATGAAGCAGACATGGTCCACGCTTTCTTCACTACCCTCACCAGGCCAGATCTCGTCTCAGGATTTGTTTATTACGGCGTTGTGCCGTGTTTCCCTGCCAGGCAGCGGGTGCTGCTGCTTAAAGCCATTGAAGCCACAGACGCCGAAGAACGCAACAAATGCTTCAGCTTCATTTTGGGGGGCGCCATGGGAGCCATGGCCAGAGATAGGTGGTTACATGCTAAACTCTGGTGCTCTGCTCGCAGGGGTTGGTGCTCGCATGGACAGCTTTTGACGAATTGCAATTGAAGCCTGCAAAGGAGTGGACACAATGCCAGCATTGATTTGGACATCTGCTGACCATGTCCCTACTACGTGTACGCGCGTGGTAGAGACAAGCCACCCAATCAGTGAGGACTGCTCGCCTTTGCAAGATGCCTGAGCAGAGCCCTTTGAGTCAGGACGATCTTGGCAAACATGCTCAGCGCGTCGTCAAGCTCCCCAAAGCTTCCCGAATCATCATTCGCTTCGACCCCATGAGCCAGCTGGATACGGGAGACTTCCTCAAGATCTTCAAAGCGAAAGCTGGGGTGAAGGACGGACAGAAGCCGGGAATCCGGTAGCAAGAGACCTGCCCAAAGAGCGCCAAAGTCTGTCCTGCATGGCAAGTTGCAAGTGAGGTTTCTGAGATGCCATGGGGCATGTGCAGGTGTGAGGTTTTCAGCTCTCGCATACCGAGCCTGGGTTTTCTCACGTACAAACTTGCAATCGCCTGAACTGTTTGTTTTTGATCGCTTGGAACACATATTGGTTTTGGACATCAAGTAACACTGTGTCAGCGCATATGACTTCCACATAGACAAGGCGATTGTTGATTCGGCTGAGACAGTATCCAGTCGGAGTTTGGAACCCAGCCATAGAGAACATAGCATTAGGGTACCTGATCATTGCAAGATGTAATTTCCTGTGGTACCAAGATTACAAAAGTTGACAAAAGATCCTTCCCTTCCAGGGCAAGGATGCTCGTGAGCTCGTGTGGTCTGGCGGGCGGAGCGAAATCGCGCGGCGTGGTTGGCCGGGCGTAGACGCACCAGGCGCCTTGGAACAATCTTGGACAGAGGATGGCGTCTTTTGGTCTCAACTTGTCGGCGGAGGCTTTTTTGGCTTATGCTTTGCCTTCCATTTCCAGATGCAGGCCTAGTCATCTCTGGCGAGTCCTTCGTGATTGAGATGAGCCGACTGATGAAGATAGGAAGCGGGGAGGAGGTGGCTTATGGCTACCGCTTGATTGCTGAAGCCCAGTTGGCGCCCAGTACCGTGAAATCTATGCACCTTGCGTGCAACGCTTCGGAGTACGTCTGTGCCTCCATTCTGTCAGAGTGTGGCGGTGACGAGGAAGAAGCTCTCCGGCGCTATGGAAATGCGGAGGTGCGGCGGAAGTGGGAGGAGCTGGAAAGCCTGTCGGAGCAGCGCAAGCAGAGCCTGGGCCTGCGAAGTGGTGGTTGCTTCGTGGCTTCTGAGGCCTCAGCCGCAGAGGACCGCACTGGTACAAGACAGCACGAAGCCTTGTTGCTGGTACTGGTACTTGACTTGTGGCATCTTGTGTTGTTGGTGTTGTCCAAGTCTTCCCTTTTTCCAGGACTCCTGGCTGCTGGGGGCAAGGATCGATTTGGGTGCAGCCACACTGAGCTTCGCAGCGAGAGAGACTCTGAGGCCTATGCCCAATGACTGCTTCAGTGACCAGGACTATCAGGAGGCACTTGGCTCGGAGCGACCCAATGTTCTCCCAGACTCTTTGACTGCAATTTGTAACGCAATTGAAGCACCTGTTAGAACCGGAGAAGATCTGTAAGGGCTTTAGCTGCACGAATCTGGGCACACAAGGTATCAACGTCTTTGTACAGGTCGCAGCTGAGTTTTCGGTGCCGAGGGCATGAGTACACAGCCGAGATTTGGGCTCCCTGGCGGCAGCACTGCAGGCAGGAGGTGTGCAGGACAGTGAAGTTGCCATTTGCGAGACGAGGCTGCTCCAGAGTTTACTTTGCCATTGGACTTGGGAAAAGGCATCAAACTGGAGCGGAGCGGGAATGCCCAGCAAGTGCCGTTTGTGTTCCATCCCCAGGCCAATGGCACCAGCATTTTTTGGCGCGGTGAGGCATGGATCAATGTGGCCATGACGGAGCTGCCAAGCCACTTGCGCAAGCACCGGCGACGGCAGGAAGTGTTCCAAGCCCTGCTGGACACTCCGGCCTGCGATCCTTCACTGCAGAACCAGCCGGAGCCCTGGCACTGCACTGTTGCCGGTCCGTGGTGGAAGGAAGCCCAGTGGTATGGCCGCCCATCAGAGCATTCAAGTGGAGACGTCCTCATGTCGGCAGTGCACAGTGGCAGCAGCAGTTTTTGGCTGGAATTCGAAGTCCTTGCCAGCGGCCTTGTTGTGGCCTACCGGTTGCACGAGTACGGGCGATGTGCCTTTCGTGAAGCTGTTTGGACCTCCCAGAGGAGCAGACGAAGCGCATAAGAGATCATAAGAGCTTGTTCAAGAGAAGCTGTTGGCTGAAATTCCCTCTGCTTGTGCTACGCGCCGCTGCGCAACATGCACAGTCAAACAAGCGCGTATCTGTGACCTGCTAAGTTGGATGGTAATTTCCCCCTACGAAGCCCCAGCTCCTGAGGAGGCTAAGTCTCTTCAGCGCGGACCCGGAAGATTCCTACGAGCTTTTCGTGACCCCTGGAGAGCTCGAAGAGCGTGCAGGGGACTTGACGCCACTCTTCAGCTACTCCCCATCCGTACTGCTCCTTGGTGCCCACGGCAGATACCTGCCACGACGGTTCCTCCGAGGACCTCAGACAGCTTGAAATTTGAAAGAGTAGCGCTAAAGAAGTTGGTGTGCCTGCGAACTTCGAGGACTTTTGCCTGAAGTCTTGCTGCCACATTTCGCCTTCTGGCAAATCTCGGAACAATGCATCGAAGCGAGGCCAGAAGCAGTGTAGCATAGACCTCGCACAGACTTAACATAGTGACATAGTCTGTAGCAATCCTGTCTGGCATTCTTGCGCATGGCACGAAGGCCCAAGAATTCCCAAAGCCGTTGGTTCAGCTGCCCGCTGAAGCTGCACCTACTCCCGGGCGGCCTGACAAGAGTCGTCAAGGAGCTCGAGGATGGAGACGGTCCAGAGTTACTCGACGCTACCCGTGCACCCTCGAGTTCGGATCTCTTCCTTTTTGCCGAGAGACTGTCTGCCGTGGAGCCGCTGTCCCATGTCTTGCTCTGGTCCACCATCACCTCCACCACTGCCGCCGAGGAGCCGCAGCCTGTGGACTTGGTAGAGATGCCGCGCCTGCAACTGCGCTTCCGGCTCAGAGAAGGGCCCACCATCCAGAACGGGCATGATGGGCCCGAAGTTGCCTTCGCATGGAAGCTCTTCTGCGATGCTTATGGCGGGCAGTTGTACCTCGAATCAACTGGGCACCACGCGATACGGCAGCTTCTGCCTAATTGTCCCTACGCTCTTCCGCCCCATTGCATGCTCCTGCGATCTGAAGCTGGTGAAGCGAAGGCGCCGGTTGTGAAAGATGTTGCTTAGCAATGGCCCATGGCTATGTCCCATCGATACCACAGCTACTTGCAAAGCTATCCTAGAAAGCATAATATAGAGAATGGTTGTGCGACAGGGCCATTATCTGCTAGCAGAGCGGTAAGTCGGGTGGCTGTGTCTTGCGGCAGATTTGTACTGCTTGGCTGGTACATGCTGGTCAATCACCGGTTCACAGCCCTCTGCATGTTGGTACGTGCTAACTACACCTGAGATAAGTCGAAGTCTGCTGTTGCATGAGGCGTAGTCGACTTTGCTTGAGCACTCAGAGTTGACAGGTGGTTGCACCGCTGGGTGGGCTACGTCGGCGGCGGAGCTATCCTGAGCCTTTCTCCACCAGAGACCCAGACTCAGACTTCGAGTAAGTTTGCCACACGCTTTGGCTACCCCTTGGCAGTTTTGCATGGCTGCAATTATGAGTCATGAGGTCAGTCTTCAGGTCTTCGATGACGACTTTCTATGCCCTGCAGCAGCTTACGACCTGCCTCTGGCCACCGGCACAGACCTGAAATGTGCGAGTCTGCTGTCAGCCCTGTGGCTGCTTTTGTGTCGCTTGCTGCAGCGCGACTACGAGGGTGCTGCCAAGCTGCTGCCGTTCGTTTCCGTGGCTTCAGCCGAAGGCCACCTGCGAAGCGACGAAAAGCGGGTCTTCCGAATGGCTCTTACAGATACCTCCGACCGCAGCCCAGACGCTGTAGCAACTTGGCATGAACGTTTCTTCACCCTGAACACATGTTTCAGACGACCTGCTGCCGTCTTAGGCGGTGCGCTTGAGACTTGTGCACGCTGCCGTGGCCCTGGTCCAGCCAGATGAGGACCTTGCCCGCTGCGCCTTCGCCGACGCGGCGAGCTACATTTCCCACCTGACAGGGTTCAAAGGGGCAAGGGAAACCGGTAAACTTCCTTCCAAAAGTAAGGCAAAGGGATTTGTAAGGTAGGAAAGAGACAACGAGGACCCACGTGAGCCAAAGCTGCTGCATGTCCTTGGACGAAGAGTTGGAGCTTTGGAGCAGTCTCAGCATGATGCGCAGCGAGATGGAAGCCACCAACCGCTTCATTGCTTGGCGCCAGAAAGTACTGCTGGCCTGGAAGCAGGGCTTGTCGGAAGTGAACCTGGAGTGGTCGAGGCATTGCCCGGGTGCGTGGCTTGCCACGGTCTTGAGCGACGAAGAGCGGGCCAGCTATCTTGCCAACCCTCCAGTGACAGAGATTGATTGCATCGGTCGCTTGTCTTTTCTTTTGACCAGCATTTTTCTACTGTGCCACCACCCCCTAGACCTGGGACCCCAAATAGGACCGGCCAGAAACAGGGTAGCTTCTCTCGTAGCTTGTCAGGGATCAAGTGCCAGCCTCTCTTGGAATGCTCCAAATTTCTTGCTGCTGACTGGCCCGAGCTGCTGGACCTGGTGCAGAGCATCGCCATGAAGGATGGGTTGTGCCTAGGCCATGTCAGCCAGACAGCACGAATTCCCTCTACATTAAATTGAGGCAAGCAGGACTGTTCACATGATTTCATTTTAAAAGACCCTAGACCGAGGTGTTTTTAATTGCCACGTTTTCATACAGCGGTTGCGCTTAGCTGCTTGCAGCTCCAAGGAAGACTAGACGGATGCAAGCTTTGATCCTTTCAGGTTCGCAACCCTCTTGGGCTTGTGGGAGACCGGCAGAGTTCCAGAGATTCAGCGCCTGGCCACAAGGCGCACAGTCATGGCCACGCTGTGAATGGATTGCATCCTTTACTTTAGGCTGAGCCATCCTGGCAAGGATATTGCTGTTTACCGTTGCGCGTCCGCAGCTTAGATGGAGGCATTGCGTCCGTATCATTGTCAAAGCCCGTCCCATGCAACACTTTGGGCCCAAGGCGGTCAGGCAAGCCTGGACAGGCGGCTGCTGCTTTCTCTATGCATGTTGCAGCTCAGCTACCCAAAGGGTCCACCTGCCGGCGTCAAGCTTCCACGATTGGCTGCTTTCCAGAACCTGTTGCCGCGGCAGAGTCTCTTGGCTGGTCTTGGCCTTGGTGAGTCTGCATTCTCTTTCTTTCCTCGCTGCCTCTCCTCTTCCTCTCTCTTTCCGCGGCTCTGTTTCTATCTTTCTATCTCACTCTCTCTCCCCTCCCTGCCTCCCTCCCTCCCTCCCTCCCTCTCTATCTCTCGCTCTCGGCTCTCTCTCCTGCATGTGCCCAACGCAAGGTAAAGAGCGTAAGGACTGGGTGAATGGATTGTGCCTTGGCGTTTCAATTCGTGTTTGGCCGCTTGCACAATGATGTCTCAAACAAAAATAACCTTGTGTTAGAGGTGGCTGTAAATGTGGAGGGTCAGGCCGGAAAGAAAACTTTTGCCTCTGGTTTTCATCCCATCATGTTGCTGGCATGCGTCCTGGATTTTATCTGAGACATCTTGGTGCCATTCTGATTGCTGATGCTGTCAAGAAAGCTAGTGAGCGCAGAGGGGTCAGGCCCTTGGATTTTATCCTTTTCCACATGCGTGGGCGCAACCACTGGGCTTAGGACGGCGCGTGGAAGTCAGCATAGACAACAGGATCCGAGCACACAGTGACCCATTTCCTGACAACGGGCCAAGCAAATATCATTGCACGTATCATTGCGGACAGCATTCTGAGACAGCGAGTCGGACTCCCAATATAGGGGAAGTGAACCTCCATTTGTCACTAGGTACATTCTGTCTCAAGTCCAACGGGTTTACTGCGCCGTTGGACTTCTCGCGCGTGGAAGTCAGCATAGACAACAGGATCCGAGCACACAGTGACCCATTTCCCGACAACGGGCCAAGCAAATATCATTGCACGTATCATTGCGGACAGCATTCTGAGACAGCGAGTCGGACTCCCAATATAGGGGAAGTGAACCTCCATTTGTCACTAGTTACATTCTGTCTCAAGTCCAACGGGTTTACTGCGCCGTTGGACTTGTCTCACATCCACACACATAGCGTTCACACATAGTGTGCCCCTCTTCTATCCCTACTACATCCCTGCTACCTCCCTATTCTTCACATGCGTGGGTGCAACTACTGGGCCTAGTGCATCTCGTGGAAGTCAGCATCGGCCACAGGACCTGTGCAAACGGGGACCCATTCCCCCCTCCCTCTCCAGGCCTTGAGGCCTTCTAGTGCTAGCACGCACAGCACCTGATCAGGGAGTGTTCCGGTGCTGGTTGCATCGTGCAACCTCGGATAAACATTTAAACCCCTGCTGCATGCTTTGCTTGTTTGACACCATGCTCTCGGAAGCTCTGGAAAAGAGGGCACGTGACAGCACATCCCAACATGATCCAGCATGCGACGTATTGTCATGTATTGCAACATTAGCGGGATTTCTGGGCGAGGGTTTAACGGGAATTTTCGGGGTGGGGGGTTAGGGTTGGTGTCGGTGAACCCGGTTTTTGTGCTGATACATGTGCTTGTCACCTTAGCTCGAGAAAATTCTGCAAAACAAGAAAAAGTTGAGTGTGTCAAAGGGGTCAAGCCTCAAAACATATCTCCTCCAAAACCCCTCAGTTCCCCAGATTTTATCCACATAAGTTTGGGAACTGAGCCGCCTAGGTCTAACAAACCCCTACAGCAAAACATTTCATGTTCCTGTAAACTTTATCAGGAAAATCGTGCTAATTGTGTTGGATCGCTGCAGGTTGGAGTGGGGATGCCAATGCTTGAGCGAGAATGCTGGGCTCGTAGATCGGCTACGGTGCTGGAAGGAGATGCAGCCCCTGGCTGGCTAGCTGCTTAGATGCTGACGCCAATGCCAGTTGTAGTTGAAGGATGACCGTGATCACAACAGTGCTTGCCCACTTTTTGTTGCTCCCGAGGAAGGTCTTCCGTCAAACTTGTGGATCTGCAGCCCACGGCGGTCCCCCGCAGTGCTACGGAGCAACACTCAGGTAGATGCAGCGTGATGCAGCCATGTGAATTGGACAGCGGAGATGCTTACTCCCCCGCTGCGTGAACCATGAGTGACGAGGGCTTTAGGCTGGCCATCTCATTTTGAGAATTCGACGTGCTCTAAGGACTTTCGATGTCACCAACGTGTGTTGCTTGCGACTACGGGCACGTCCGCTGCTTGGCCAGCCCTGTCGGACAGGGAATTGGAAGAGAGACTCGGTTGAGAAATGTCATAGGAGCCGGTAAACAGACAGGCCCGCGCCGTTCGCGCATGACCCCGAAACATGCTTTTTAATTGTTGCTGCAAGTTTGCAACGTGCACCGAGGATGGCAAAGCGACTTGGCTCTGTCAGTTTTGTGAAGATCATGCACCGTTTCTGCATCCGGTATGCTTGAGCCATCTGGTATTTTTTGGGCTCCGAAGCGTCAAGCCAGATTGGTGTGTGGACAGTTTTGTGAACATCCTAGAGGATGTTTATATGACCCAGGGTTGCAACCCCCTTCCCCCTCATGGTATGGTGCTGCCAAGAGGTCCCACTGTCGCCAGTATGCTGGTAATTGATTGTGACCATGGAACATGAAGACCTGCTGTTGCTGAGGTCATTCAGATTTTCCTCCCTCCGTGGTGTAGTGGGTTTTCAGTCTGCCATGAATGTCAGTTCATTCATTCAGATCTTTCCCCCTTCCCCGCGGTGTCGTGGGTGTTGTTTCTTTCAAAACTGCCAGCATTGTTTTCTGGCGAAGACATTGAGAGCTTCTCCCTCCCCCTGTGGTGTGGGTGCTTGTCTTACTTCAATAACGGTCGTCTTTTTGTGTTGTTGAAGTCATTCAGATCTCTGCCCTTCCCCCCTATGGTGTGGTTGGGTTTCCTCCTCCCACAATGCTCACCATAATTGCAAGCGCAGTCTCCCTGCAGCAGCGAACGTGGAAGCAACACTGATATGGAATCGTATGAAGCCTGTAGCAATTCAGCATTGAGCTTTTGCTCAGGTCTCGTTCTTTCCCCCCCAACGTGGTGTGGGTGGTTTTCTCTTTTCCCCTCCGGCGCGGGTGGTGGGGGACAGGCACCATCCCTATTCCTGTTGGCACTTCTCATATCTGCAACATCAAAAACAATGACAGTTGCATGGTCGTCGTCAGGCACTCACCATCCTTGTGATCTGCAACATCGAAAAACGATGACAGTTACGAGAATGGCGCTTCCAGGGCCTCCCAAACGAGGACAGTTAAGTTGCAAGGATCAGGTGGGCTAGGGGTCCGGGCACCATACCCTACGGGGGGGCTAAAGCCCGGAGGACCGGGATCATATATAGGGTAGATTGTCAACTCGCGGCAATTTTTGGTTCCCATTCTGATATGACCGTAATTGGTCACCCCACCCCGTGATTCACTTAGTGGCCTTGGTAGGCATCTTTTTCTTCATTTTCTGTGACTGCTGTGGTGCCGGACTCAGGCGGACGCCTTCCCTTGTGGTCGGATGTGAAGGACTGCGACCAGCGAACTTCAGTTCAATTGATCCTAATTATTTCTCATAACATCCGGGAAACTGCGTAGACATGTCTCAGAAGCATGCTGTCTTGGAGATCGTTGCGTGGTTCAGACAGTTCTGTTCCTCTACCCGGGAGGGTCATTCATAGCTATTTCCTGAATCGTAAGCGCGATGGAGCTTCAAAGAAGCATGCCTTTTGGCGGTGTGGTGGAGACAGTCTGGCATGAGCTCTCGGCGAAAGCTGCCTAGAGCAGAAATTTCCAAAGGCACAACAACAACTTGATAGAAGGATTTGTAACTTGGGATTTCTGGATAATTTTGGCAGAGTACGGGGCAAACAGCAGCTGAGGCTGGTAAAGGAGGCACTTGCACCCAGCCCGGCCCCCAGCAAGACAGCTGTGGACATCTGCGTTCCTCAAGATAAGCTCTAGGCAGTTTCTGCTCCTGAAAACTCCGGTGTCTCAAGAACATAGCAGCATAATTTTTTTCAGGGAGACCGAGCGAGAGAGGTCCCTGGCGCATGAAGCTGGATCTGTCATGGAAGGAGAGTCTCAGAAGGCCGTGCCATAACCAGTGTTTTGGTCAACTTCATTGTGGTTCTTAGCAGTCAAGTCGTAGAGCACCGGGGCCAGGTGTCAGCGTCCCGGATCCTCTCTGCCCGGGATTGCAGCCGAGACGTTGCAGCGCTGGCAGGGCTCGGCGCAAGCCTTTGAGGTTCAGGAGGCGGGAGTGCTTCGCCCATGGCAATTCATCCGGGTTCATACTGTTCTTTATTCCATGAAGCTTCTTGTTGGTGAGCACTGCTTGGGCTCACTCCTCCACTACTCGCATTCAGGGATGGATTTCACAAGCCACTAGCTAAGCTGAATTGAAAGTCTGCCTGCGGCGTTGATCCCTGGTCAACAAGGATCTTTGAAGGGAAACTGGGTGAACTTACTGTCTCCGGTCTCAGAGCTTGGACTGCCTGGAGTGTCAGTGCACAAGTCAAAAACAGGGACCTTGAAGCACTTCAAGCAAAAACAACCATGCTTGTCAGCCGACACCTCTGCATATCGCAGTTGGATGCCTCTGGAGTCCGGAAGGAGCCAGCAAACTTTCAGCTGAAAACTCGTCACGGCGGGCTTACGAGCCTCTGTGGAGGGAAGATGGACGCAGGCCTCTTGAAGGACCTTCAGATCATAGAGCAATCGTCCACAAATTTTGCATCTGGGGGCTGCTGTGAGCAGCTATAGTATATAGACTTCGCCAGAAAATGTTACGTATCATGCGGCGCACTGGATTCAGTTGACGTACGACATCAGCAAATAAGGCTTTTGTCCTGTTATTCGCGCGAAAGCCACCCTTGACGCAAGCACCCTGCGTCCCATGCATTCCGAGCTGCTGCTCGCGCTGCTCCGTGTTGGGTGAAGTGAAGACACAGTAAGTCGGTGCGCGGAGTATCGTAGAAGCCCCGAGAGTTCGAATAGGACAGGCCCCAACCTGACATGTTGTTCTGGCATTGACGCAGGACTTGCTGCAGGACGTGGAAAGTTTCCTTCAAACGTTGCAGGTGCTTTGCTGTATTCGCGCGCAAGATTTTGAGAGCTCTTCAAGATGTTTCAAGATACAACTCATATTATGGATTTCCCCAGATTCAGGATTTCCAAGTTCTTCGCAATTGCAGGGGAAATGAGGGGAAATCCTGTGGACAGCTCCTTATCCGACAGCTTCAGATCCCTAGCCCCATTTGACTCCCACTTTAGGAAGCCGACAGTCTGGGGAATGTTGGGCGAGTGTTGATGGCGTTGGCATGTCGCAATCCCACACAGCTGAAAGCTTGTTTTAGTGCAGTGGTGAAGTTGAGGTGCAGAGAGACCAGGATGTCAGGCACGTCACATCGCTGCCGCTGTCTTGACATTGCTGTAGTCTTGTCGCTTGCAGCGAAAGTACTTGTACCTGGGTTACCTTAGGGGCTGCGCAGGCGTGCTCAGCAAGGCGTGGAGGCGATGATGGCGTGGACCCGGCGCCCACTCAAGGAGACGGAGCATCGCGCACTGTGGGATCTGGAAGTCGTCAGCGGAGCCTCGCCTGCACCCAAGAGGTTCAGAACCGTCAGCAAAAACAGCCGCAGCCGAGGGTTTCATCCGCCCATGCTGAGCTTCGAGTGGACAGTTGCGTCGATCCTTGCCTCAGAGGCTGCCGAAACCTCTCAACATGTCTCGGTCGAGAGGTAGGCTGAGGTATAGGACCAGGTAGGAACGGTAGGACATGGTAGGACATGATAGGACTAGGACTGCCCGAAGGTTTGGCAGTAGACTGGGATGGAATGAGGGGAGGCTTCCAGCGGATAGCATGAGGATGATTTTGCGTCTACTTACACGCGGATGCAGGCCGGAGATGTCATTGCATCGTTTTTGCCATCCTCGCTGGATCCCGAAGCTTCGTTGGAGCTTGTCCAGCCTAATTGCAGCTTGCCAACGTTCAGTGCTGTCAGCTTTCCATCATAGATATGGAAGCATTGCCAACGTTTGTTCGTACATGCCCGTAGTGTGTGAGCGTGTTAGCCGCAACCCTGCGACGCACTCGCCCCCAACTCTGTTCAGCTAGATGCACTTGGACTCGGTTAAACCCCGAAAGAAGGCTTGGTCGACGCTTGCCTGCCACTCGTATGCAGCCATAATTTCTGCAACTCATGGCATTGGCCCTTAACCCCTTATCTACCCTACATGCTGCACTCTGACTAAACAGCGTTGGAAGATTGTGGATCTCCATTAGACAGACGGTCCTTTTTCATGCAACCTCTGCAGCATATCACACATGCTGGGATGTCAAAAGTGAACCAATGAGCAGGCACTTTCAAGTGCTTCTCTTTCTGGAGATACTAAACTGACCCAAATTGATCACACTCGCCGAGGACTGTGTTGCTGATCGCGAGCCGTGCTGCTTCTGCTCGGCGGGCTCTAGTACATGCCTTTGCGCTCGCAGCAAAACTCAGGCTGGATGCTAAGGGAAGAGCGGTTGTTGCTTCCTGTTACTTTTGCAGCAGCTCATGTGCTAAGCCATGCCAAGCCATGAGCTGCAGACATTTGGACATTTTATCATTCCAAGGCGCGCTTGCCAGGTCACATGCAGTTGGCTATGTCCACATCTGGTTGTCACCTAGGCAATTAGTGCAGAGCTCCGAGAATGGAAGCCGCTTGGACAGCATTGTGCTCTCGAGCAGGTCTTGTTGACGTAGGCTATTCGGGCATTCCCAGGTCCAAACGACCAACGAGAGCTGCAGAGCCTGGCTACAAAGTTGGCAGTGGAGCTTGGCGCCAGCGAGGAGTTCATCCAGGAGACCGCAGGCTTCACCCTCGTAGGTTTGAATTATCAATTAGCTTTCCGCTTCTCCTTAAGCAATCCTTAGGATGATTTTACAAGCTGCGTTCACGTGCGCGGAAAGGTGGCATCGCTTTGGATCCACATTTCCTGCTCTTCGAGTGGCTCTTTTCGAAGGGTAATCTCCGAGGGAGCCAGCTGCGCTTGGTGAGCCAATTCGCAGAAGCTGCCCGGTGCCTTGGCAAAATTGGAAAGATCACCGAGAAGTCGTGGTGACTTCGAAGCACCTCCAAAGTCGAAACGCTTAAAAGGGAACAGCAAACTCAGCTGCACAGTTCTTCGCATAGTTCTGCACCTGCAGATAAGCAGGGCACGCGGTTACCACTCACTTGTGAGCATTTTGGAGAGGGTCCAAAAGACCGGCTTTGACTTGGCGTTCGGTAAGCTGGAGTCAGAGGGCTCGCAGGTTGGGGCGGCCGCTGCTTCGCCAGCTTCTGATGGGGGAAGGCAAGTCTGCGGTGGTGGCGCCGCTTCTGGGCTTGCTCTTGGCATCGGAAGGCTTGGTTCTACAAGCCTACGCCTCAGTTTTGTGCAGAAGGCGGTGCTAGCTGATGCGTTTCTTGACTTGTTGAGGGTCTGCCTGAGGTTGTGCCGGATCCGCTGTTGTCCCAAAGCCTTGCGATGACTCGCGCGCTCTTCGGGCAGGCCAGGGGCTCGAATTCTTTTTCTACTAAGGCAACTCCCTGCCATAAAAAGACTGCACGACTTGCAAGGCTTGCAAAGCATCAAAACCCTGACCCCCTCGAAGCTTCCCCATTCAACGGATGTTAGCCTTGGGACCAACGAACTCTAGAGGATGAAAAAGGGCAAGAAGCTTTGCAAGCTGTCCAGGCTTTCTTTCGGCCTGTCTACCACATCGGCTTTGACAGATCTGATGCCAACAGCACGGCAGCTTTTGCCTTGCTTCGGAAGGTGGCGAGGGCTGTCAAAGAACATGCTGCTGCAACATGGCAGCACTACCAATGCTGTGAGCCAAGCAAAGCTTTGCCCTTCGGAAGTCGATGCTCAGGTCTGTTCCACTGCATCTTCCATTAAAAGTTTCCAAGCTGCAGAGATGTTGCAGCAGGGGTCAGAACTGAACACTTCCCAGGGCCTTCATGTTTTGCGCAACATTCTCCTCAAGAAGGAGTGTTTCCCTCAACCTTGAATTTGCCAATCCCTTCCCATCAAGCCGAATCCACTTGGCCGACCCCTAGGCTGCGTCTTGGCATTTGTGGAAGCGGAGATGAAGCTAGCCAGGCCGCGGCCCAGGGAAAAAACTGGCATGATCACAACAGTTCTGGATTCGTGCAAACCTGATCAGGAAATTCAGCTTTTGCCAGAGGTCCGCACGTCACATAGTAGAAACTGGAAAGGATCTCACCAAACCTGCCACAAACTCACTGCTCAAAACAATCAGCACACCGGCAGCTCGCCTGACAGGCTCAAGGCAGCAGTCTCCACCTCCTCGAAGCGAACGACAGAGCAGTGACCCGTCAGCAGATGCAGCTATGTGCACAAGACTGCTTCGAGTCCAAACCCGCTACGTATGGCCTCAACTCCCTTTCAGAAGCGCCGGTTGAAGCAGATGGCTCAAGAAGCCCTTCCACATCATTACCTGGTGCTTAGTTGTAGCCACTGCGAGGTGAAAATTTATTGTAGTTGCTTCTCACGTGTGTCAGTCTGGATAGCTCAACGCGCAGGCTTTCCAGGGCCTTCCCTCAGGCCCCTTCACCCAAGGCTCCGCAAGGTCTCCCCAAACCTTGGTTAAGAAAGTTAGTCATTCCGGTGCATTTGACTCCTATGGCTTCCGCGGTTTATCCTGGTTAAAGAAAATCAGCACTGATTTTCTTGATTGACCGGGGATCAAGCCCTCCCAAGCCCTGGACAAGAAAATCATCGGTGCCGACTTTCTCGACCATATTTTCTGAAGTATTTCAGGGAGCTGTGAGCTGTTGAGGTTTGTAGGTTTTTTTGAGTGGTTCGTTGTAACGAAATTTGTTGAGGTTTGTGCAGAAGAACAAAGGGCTCTGAAACTTTGAGGGGCATTGTGCAGCGTTTTCTCAAGGTCTGTTGGCCACCTAGAAGTTAGGTTAAGAATTCAGAGGCCGTGTATTATCCCATATTGGTAACAGAATTGCGGGAAATCCAAACCAGTGATTTTCTGAACCACTTTTTTCTTAAGCAGAGCTGGCCGGCATTGTGCCAGGAAGCCATTCCTTTATTGATTTTTATGTGCCAGTATATGGTTCAAGCCCAGGTGCGTGGAGGAGGCCTCGAAGCTTTGGCCTCATATTGCTGAAGCCCCGCCGGAGCCCCTTGTCTGGCCCGAAGAGTTATATGACTCAGTTGAGAGATGTTGAAGGTACCGATAGATACACCAGGCCTAGGGAAGGAGATTGAAGGACCCAGGATTCAGGATTCGAATTTTGCGATACTTTCAGCACTGCTCTGTGGCGTTGCCTTGCAGAAGAGGGCTGTGTCGTGGCCGCCCTTCTCAAATTCAGGAGCAAGGATCGAAACAAAGATGGGTGGGCATGTGGGCGGTTAGAGGACGATTTATTTTAGCAGCACCGCAGTACTATGCTGCAGTAATTGACACAAGCCGTCTGGCTTTCCCCCTCCCAGTCATGATAACTCCAAATCAATACCTTGATAGGTGTCTGTTGATGGAGTGATGTTTGCACCACCGTGAGCGCTGGGAGAGTTTGATTCGCAACCTTTTCTCTCAGCTGCTTTAGACTTTGGGGAGTTTGCCCAGTTGGCTAAGGCCAGTATAGGAGGCTCTGAAGCCTTGATTTAGAGGGTGCCTCCATCCTTCACGTCTTGTGCCTCAGGAAAGAGATCGAGTTCACAAGCCTTTGCTTGACGGGAATTCTGTCGACTTTCCAGTCGAGCGTTGGCATTTTGGATGAAGCTTGGCATCTCAAGCCTGACGGCAGAAAACCTTGCGCAAGCGACGCACAGGGATTGTCCATGCATGTCCATGCATCGTGTTGCATAAGGAAGTGGATCTTCTCCTCCATCCCTTGACGTCGGAGCTGCCTCTCGGATGCTGGTGCTGTAACAGCCTAACAGCCTCCAACACTGCTGAAGATCTGTTTAGGAATTTTCCAGTGGACGCCCGAGAGCCCTTGAAGCTGTCGCCGGATCGCTGGGAGCTTCCGATGCTCCTCGGATTGCACTGAGAAGACAGCGAACGTGCGAATATTGGGACATGGAATCCTGAAATTCCGGGACATCAGGCATCTTCTACAGCCTTTTCTCTGCGAGGATGCAGACAATCTTGACATGGGAAGAGGCCACCAGACTCCTGCCTGGCAGCAGTGCCGCGAGGCCGAAGAGGGTCACATGTGCAAAGAAAACGAAAAGCTGAAATGTGTTGAAGAAGCTGACATTGCGCGAGGGCTTGGCATACGTCCGCATGCCCATGACAGGTGATCAAAGAGGGCATCTCGTCACTGGCCTTTCGAGACAGCCCGCACTTCGTCCTGGTCATCGAGGAGTTCTACTTCGATCGTCTAGAAACTCCCCTGCGGGAGTGGCTGTGCGAGTACTTCTTGGAGCATGTGGCCTTCCAACAAATGGGAGCTACCCGCGAGGAAAGGCATCAACTTCTGTTGGCTGCCCTTGGGCCCAGTGCACCGGCACCGGGATGCGATCGGCTGAGGCAACTGTTGGTCTTCGCTCGGGAGTGGCTGATTCACACTCTGCCCTTCATCTTAGCCAAAGTCAATCGTGTCCACTACGGCCTGCTTCGACACAAGGTCCCTGAGACGTGGGTCTTTGATTTTTGGGCTTGAAGCTAGGTGATCCCTTGGTTCCTGATCCTGTAGCTGTAGACATCCAGAAGTACAGGAAGTACAGGCCATGCAGTGTATGTCCTTGCAAGGACACGGCAGACCTCGCAGGCAGAGGCTATCCAGCTCGAGGCACACGATTGCAGATGGCAGTGCCCTTCACGGGTCTGGAGACGCCCTCCATCGCTTCTGAGTTTGCGAACCCAGATGTTGCTATTGGGCACCTTGGGAGAATTGAGAGCAAGGGGCTAAGTTCATAGCTTATTGTGCGCGGCACGAAAAGGATAATATCTACACTCTACATTGCTAGAAATCATGGTGAGGCTTACGATCCTGGCGTTTGGGCATGAGGGCATGCGCACCAGCGACGTGAAGACCATGCTTTTGCTGTCATGGCCCAAGTGTCGACAAAGGTGCCATGAGTTTTGCAGTCATCTCGCCATTTTGCTTGGGTTGTGACCTCAGGTTGAAGTCTGATCTGCTTCGCGATGTGGGAACGCCGACAGTGCAACGTGAAGCTTTCCGAAGCTTCCAAGCCTGGACCAGGATGGATCCATCAGCTCACGAGGGCTCTGAGGGCTCAGACTTTGCAAGCGGGGTTCTTCCGCTGGATTTGATCCAGCCGGATGCGGCATCCATTTTGTGCCTCAAAAAGCTTTGGCAGCGAAAGGCACCCGTGTACTTGTACTACCTGCGCAGAGAGATATTTCCCAAGGCCACGCCTTCACAGACCAGGAAACTGTCAGCATGTGCGCAAGAGCTTTCATCCCCGACCCTATTCAAGGTGCGGTTGGGATTCTCTGGAACACCTACAAACATTCTTCCATCCAGCTTGCCACCAGTCGAGTTTGACGGTGCCACAGACGGGAAGACGCTGGCCATCCTGTCATCCCCTCACCTCGTGAGCCTTCATCACATGATGTCTGGTTGGACGCCGGAGTCCTTGCTGGCCTACATAGCTGGCCGACGTCCGCACTTCTCGGCGCTGATAGACACGGCTGCTTTACTGTGTGGTTTGGAGAATGAGGAAGTAGCTGCACGGCTCATGAACAGTCCCTTGACGCAGCCAGACGGCAAGGGCGGCAAGGGCGGCAAGGAGGCCTGCGTCTTCCTGGCCCGCGGCACCGACTTGCCTATGATTCTTCTGAAGGGGGCTGCGTCAGCAGTGCCGCTTGAAGATGCCAACATCCTTCCGGAGAAGCGTTTCTGCTACTTTGACCAGCCACACACAACGGGCATTGACATCAACCAGCCAGCGCTTGGAGCCTGAGCCTCAGAGAAAACTTCAGAGCTTCAGTTTCCTACGCCAAGCTTTCGCAAGCTGGGCAGGTTGCTGCCATCACCATCGGGAAAGATATGAGCATCCGGGAGCTGCAGCAAGGCGCCTGGAGGATGCGTGGACTCGCACGCGGACAGACCCTTGAGATGCCGCTGGGCCTTTGTACAGCAAGGCATCAGTTTGTTGCGGTCATAGGCCCTAGCTTTCCACATCATCATATGACGTTTTATTTGCTGACTGAGCCTTCGGCTGTGGCCGACTGGGTTCACTACACCAAACAGTTGGGAGAATGTGTGCCCCATTGAATTGATTAGAAAGGCTTAGCAAATCAGTGAAGCCCAAACCCAGGATTTTGCCTGAAGATGTCGCTGTCTACATGCGAAGCACTTTGCAAGATGACTCTGCCGTGCCTACGTCGAACAGCTGCCAAGCATTGCAAGATATCCAAGCCTGCCTCTTGATGCGCCACCTGGCCTTTTCAGTGTGTTTTAGATGATGGTTTGGGGGCTGAAGCAGGGCCTTTGAGTGTCACATGATGGTTTCTGAGGTTCCTTGGAGCAGGAACAGCTCCAAGCCAGGCAGCTTGTGCGTCAGGATTTGAGCCATGCCTGGAAGTCAGAGGCTCTGAATGCGCTCATGAGTCGCGGCTCACAAAGAGAGCAACACGTGGAAGTGCTGCTGGAGACTGTGAGCTCCAGCGTGGTCCAGAAGACTCCACAGCGTCTCCAGGCGGCCCTTCGTGATCTTGCAGCCCCATTCATGAAGGCTGCATCAGTGGCTGCGGCGGTGGAGACGGCTGTGGAGCGAGCAGTCCGGCTCTTGGGTGATGTCACGGATGAGCTCTCTGGTGGAGGCGGAGAAATCGTGCGGGAGCAGGAGCAACAGCAGCAGCTGGAGCACCAGATTGAGTCTGAAAAGGACGCATCAATTAGCCGGCCCCGCGTTGGCGAGAGCCGCGTGTGGGAGTTGGAGCAAAAGATGCTACAGATTGCGGATGCCGTCACAGGAGGGGACAAGCTCCAGGACATACATCTTTTCTCCTTCCCATCTGCAGCTAGTGTGGCAGAGACACTGCGAGCAACTTCGGCTGGCTCCGCAAAACAAGCAGTCAAAAATTTAGAGGCACGAACTCGGCTGGAAGAGCTCCGGCTGAGGTTTTCCCCGAACTGCAGAGTCACGGAGGAGATTGCCATTGTGCGACCTGTCCTTGTGGCCCTCCGCCTCGGTGATAAAACTCCTTCAACCTTGGCCTTGTCTCTCTGCGAAGCTGAAAGCATCCGCTGGATCTTGGAGACGAGCACATCGGGCCAATCTTTTCTGCTCCATACCATTTCAGAGACTCCCATGTTTGAGGCAGAGCAGGCAACTATTGAAGAGCATCATGCCCCTCGCAGGATGTAACATGAAATGCTGCTGTTTTGTGTGTGGAATTCCGTCATGTGCAGCAGTTCCTAACTCCTAACTTCTTACGCCCCTCAGGTGCTCTGCCGAAGTCAGAAGGGGCTTGATATTTCTCAAGCTGCCATTACCTTTCTGCGCTTCTACTTGGGTGAGTCCTGGTTCTCTTCACATGAGGCTTGGATGCAAGATTTTTGCAGGTCTTTCACAAACAAACACGGCGACTTGGCCGTTTCAGCTCCCCAAGTACCAAACAAAGTGTTTATTCACACAATGCCGTGCCGCGTGGTCCACCTAGTCTTCGAACTCACAAAACTCTATTTATTATTGTTACTAGTATTATTGTTGTTATTATTATTGTTATTATTATTTGCATTATTATTAGTATGAATTATGTCTGCCAGATCCCTACCTTGGCCATTCTTTGCCTTACCGCAGTATTTTTTAGTATTCCCGCCAAAGAGAATTGTTGAGCATTCATGACCACAAGACCCTAAACCACATCTCCCAAAGAATCTCAGGAAGTGCGCTGCCTACAGGCCATTGTTGGCAGCTCAAAGCAGGATACTTGCACTTGGATGTAGTCTCTCCCAGTAACATGTGGTAGATTTTGACATCCTCGTGAGATCATCGCTGCCAGCTTTTCGATGTGTCATCTTTCGGCCTCTTTTCTCAGGATTTCCAGCGGCTGCGATCGGCTGCCTTCAGCGCACGCCGTCCAGGTGGCTCCGCTGACTGGTCTTCCACGCCACTGCGGGCTGTTCTTGGTGATGACCCTGCGGCGGCAGGACGGAGCACATGCGTAAGCGTACATGGGTTTGGGTATTTGAAGATGAATGGCCTGCTCAGTACTGCTGCCGCCAGATGCCGGCCCCACGTACCTGGAGCGCCCCTTGGCTGAAAGGAAGCATTGTGGACTCCCCGACCTTAGTACTTCTGCAATCCGAGGCTACAGCACTGAAGCCCTGGCAGGCAGGGAGAAGCAGGGTGTTCCTGGAGTTTCACAAGACCTTTCAATTGAGTTCTGTGAGTTCAGGTGGCCGAGATTTCGTGGAGACCTACGCTCGGCAACGTCCCACAGAGCACGCGGACCCAGAGGCGGCTGAGCTTGGCTGAGGCCGCGCCGACTCAAGGCGGACCCGGTGGCCCGATAAAGAGTGCCAGAGCAGAAGTTGCCGGTCCCTGAGCCTGAGCATGCGCAGATTTGGCCAACAAGTGCTACGTGGACGGTTTGGACCCTGCCAGCCCTGCGGGACCCAAGAGCTTTCCGGACTCTAACGAACCGCCCGAGCACCCTGCCCAAGCGCGTCTTTGCTTGGGTGTGTCGCTGCGGGGTCTCCATGACCAAGCAGCAAGGAGGTCTGGATGATTCGCTCCATTGTCGTCATCATGATCGCCTCTCCAAAGTTGTTGGGCGAAGTTCGGTTTCGACCGTGCAGTGCAGTCTCAATGACTGAAGAACCGCGTTTGGCCGTTGGATTTGAAGGCGAAGCCCGAAGCTCCCATGCCCCATGCTGAATGCCTAAGGCACGCGGCTAGCGGGGAGCAGGGCAGTGGTATCACCATGTATCACCCTGACCATAGTCTTGTTGCTGCTCGTCCTCCAAGCTCCAAAACTAGCAGAGCTCATCTGCAGGGCATAAGACCATACGACTTGACTTTGCGCTAGCCATCTTGTGACACCTATGTCCTGTGAAAGAGTCCGTGAGAGTAGTTGGCCCAAGCATGCCTCATGACTCTCTATACTCTTGATCGCTGAAGGCGTCCTGAGATGTCCTGAGGAATGGATACGGCCCTGGCCAGGTATGCAGCCAGCCTACGGGCAAGTCCGGAGGCAGAAGCGATTTGCAGAAGATCTGGTTTAGAGCTTGATCCAGAGAAAGCATTTCCCATGTACACTTTGACAGTGGACAGACTGCTAGCGATGGATGAGATGAAGTCTCACGAGGAAATGATTGAGGCGGAAGGCCTTACTATTTTTGACGAGTCTTTGGGGCGTGCTATTTTTGTGTCGCACCAGTGGCTGGGGAGCACACATCCAGACCCTGTGCACCAGCAACTGAGGGTGCTGCAAGAGGCTTTGAGGAACATACTCTCAGGTGCCGCGCAGGTGGCTCTGCCAATCGCAGAGGAAATCTTTTTTGGGCGAAGGCCTTGCCCAGCTGTGACCGATTTTGAGTCGCAAGCGCTGTACGTTTGGTACGACTTCCTTTGCTGCCCACAGGCTGCCTCTGCTCATGCGGAGCGACAGCTTGCTGTACAGGGAATCCCCTCCTATGTGGCCAAGTGTGAGTTTTTTGTGATCCTCTGCCCTGCTTTGGAGCATTTGGACGAGAAGAAGATGCTCTCGCTGGAGACGTGGAGCGAGCGAGGCTGGAGATCAGCACTAATTACCGTTTGATTTCATCGCTTCCGCGAGACCGCCTCGGTCAGTGTGGTCGAGGCCACCGGCGCGAGGGCGCCAACTTTTAAATCCCCAACGCCCCACATACACCACCCCAGCTTGGTGAGGGGCATTTCAGACCCACGTCAGCCTTTGCGGAACCCAGCAGACCAGCCGGACCCCCCCGGCGCCGCCTAGAAACCGAAAAAAACAAAGCCGTTCGGATTCCGTGTCCAGCGGGAGGGTTAACTTACTTTCCTAAGTCGCCGGCCTCGGCGGATTACCCGGATTTGCAGAGGGAACACCGACCTTGCATGGGCTGTTTAGCTGTCTGCCTGATGACTGAAGACCATGAAAGGGTTGGGAAGCGAGTTTAGTCAAAGGAGATTCGTGAAATAAGAATGACGCAACCACATTGACCATGAGTGCAGTTGTAGGGCACAAAAAGCCGTCATTAGATATAGAATGCTATCTTCCGCGCTGCTAGGTTGGTGCCGGGCTGAGAAGGTGGCACGAGAGCTCGCAGCGCGGAGCGATGGATACACCATTGTCATTGAGAGCGCAAGGCATGCGAAGATGATCTTCGATTGTCAGAATGCTCAAGGTGCTCCTGGACACGGGAAGTTTACCTGCGAGTCTGACCGCAGCAAGATCGGACGCATGATGGTGCAGATGGTTTGGAACAAGCTCATGTATTTCCTGGAGAAGGAAGATCTGCACGGCTACAGGCTCCTGCTGAATGAGCAGATGCCTTTCTTTTTGCAAGGTCTTGATGTCCATCCGGTGGATGGGCTGGTTCCTGGTTTCGCTACTGACATTGATCCTTTCGAAGATCCGAAAGGCTTTGTCGTGGCAAGGTTCCTTTCGTTTGGGAACAACTATTGACTCTTCTGAGCCAAGCCTGGCTCGTTCTATTCCAGTCATTTCCAGTTTCCTAATTCCTGCAACAGCTGTACACTCCTAGATGCATCCCTGCCAGGTTCCTGCATCAGAATGGCTTCCGTAACGTTTTGGAGCGCGATTCATCTGGGTGGTCACCACTCTGCTTTGCAGTTATTGGTGGTGATTCGGAGTTGGTGCAGTCTTTGCTTGATTGGCGGGCCGACCCCAATGATGCAATCACACAGGAGAAGAAAGAGCGGAGTTTGCCCAGACGTTTTTCGGTACTGTCACTTGCCGCCCTTTACCACAGCAATGATGCCCTGAAGGTGCTTCTGTCTGCCAAGGCCAATGTGCATGCCTGTGACACCACTCTTTCCACTGCGCTACACGGGGCAGGTGCCTCCAACAACGCGGGTGGAGTGCGGGCTTTGTGCAATGCCAGTGCTGATCCTTCCAAGCGCTGCTTTCCTGGGCTGACTCCTCTTCAAGTGGCTTGCGCGTGTGCATCCATTGACGCAATTCAAGAACTGATGGCTACGACTCCATCCGTGAACCTACGATTTTGTTTGCACTTCGCTTTAATGTTCCAAGGTGGCTATGCTAAGACAATCACCCACTTGCTTCAAGCAAGGGCAGATGTGGATGAACAATTCCAACTGAGCATCCTGCAGGACACTGCGTGGTGGCTGGTGCTGAAGCTGGCGGGGTTGCGACACAGGATAAGCCCGTCCAGGTTGACATTGCTGGCATATCATCATTCAGGGGCAACTCCGCTAATGTTCAGCATCATCAGCGGATATTTCGAGGCAACCACCGTCTTGCTTGCAGCAGGCGCTCGACTGGATTTGTGCAATTCTCGTCAGCAGAAGGCTGTGGACCTTGCGGAGAGCATTCAGGCACCAACTCCTTTGATTCAGGCGTTGCAAATTGCCGAAGCTCAAGATGGACTTTCCGAAGGCAAGTCTGACTCTGAGGACATTGGCTTTACTTTTACTTTTTAACTCTTCGAGCGCTGCATTTGTCAGACGCGCTGCGGTGCCTTGGTTGTACAGATCAGGCAGCCATGTAACATGTTTGAAAAGCGGCCCGGCGCATATCTTGTTGCCTGACATGTATTTCCTGGTAAACTCTGTGAGCCCACTTGACTGGTTCTTGCCATTGAATGTCCGTCACAATTTGCGAATTCGTGCAGAAGTGATGTTGCAGGACAGGCAGGACAGGCAGAGGATGTGGGGAGGCAGGCAGGGCTGGCTTGGAACCCCGTAAATCCATTCCAGCTCGATGATGTATTGGACGGGGCAGAACAACGTACAGAACCTCCAGATTAGCTTTCCGTGCGACATCAGGCTCGAGAGATATTTAGTAGTATGTCCCAGATGGCACAGAAGCATTGTAGCCTGTCCGAGGCTGTGACATGCGCATCTAAAAGTTTTGGGGAGCTTCGTGAGGTTTACACCTGGTTTTGCTCAGCTTTCCTGGACGGGAAGCTCTCGCAGGAAAGTTGCACGAGGGATGCCTGGGAGAAGTCTCGACGCTGCGTTCTGTCAGAACTCCGAAGGAAAGGCCACGAGAGGATTGCAGACCTTGAGTGTTCGGAGTCCTCCTGTACAGGCGCTTAATGGAGGTGGGCCCTGCTTGGGTCATGTGCCTGTTTGTAGTTGCCAGCTCTGCCAGCTTCAGAGGGGACATCCTGGAGCAATGGATTCATCCTCTGACCCGCGACGCTTTCTTCAAGGAATTCTTTGAGAAGACCTGGGCCCATTTCCCTCATCCGGAGTCAATGATCCAGATCTCGCTTGAAGGCCTTCTTGCAAGGCTTCTCCATGGTGCTTGGGTTCGGACAGCCGCTTGTGTGAGATTTTCCTGTTTCTGTGTTGAGATCAGCTCCTGGGTTGGCTTGTGATGGGATGCAAGGTGATCAGCTCTCTGCACAAGTGGTCATAGCCTGGTGCCCGACTCGCCAAGCAGCTCTATGCTGCGGCAGACTTTCCGGTGGATGTTTACATGTACCTGACGCTGCCTCACTCCTACAGGTATGGCGTCCGCTCTGATGCTCCTTGGATTTTGTATCCATGCGGCCAAAAAACCGTGGTTGTAGAAATTCCCCCTTCAAGGGAGTTGCAGACGGTTGAGGTGATGGACGCTTTGACTGTGCAGCTTTCACTCCACTGGAACTGTGATTGTTACGATGCTGGGCGCAACATGTCAGAGCAAGTAGGCAAATCTACTTCCAGAATCAGAATGGTTACTGCCAACAGCCTTGTGCCTGAGAAAACTCTGGGAGGAAAGGAATAAGAATCCATCAAAGCGGGCTGTGGCTGATTTCGGGCTTTGCGTATCTGCGTCCCCTGAACCGGCGCCAGAGGCGCCGAGCAGCAGTGTTTCTCACGCGCCCATGGCCCATGGCTGATGTTGCTGGCTGGCAGCTTGCGTTTGATGGATCCTGGGGCTTGCCGTTGCCGGGCCGTGGGAGGGTTGAAAGCACGGGTTCGGCATTGGGTGGTCGTGTCCCCGCTGTCCGGCTTGGTAGCAAAGCGATTGGGCGGGAGCTGGCAACACCTCGACGGGCTTTGGAGTCAGCCCACTGCGAGCCATGCCTGCCAATCATTGCCTCCTTGAGGGTAGCTGCGCGGTCGCGCTCAAGTTTGCTCGACGTTGGAGAAAGTGCCTCAGCTGCTGCACGATGACAAAGGGAAAGAGCAGAGAATTCCACAACGCAACTTTTCCAGCTTCCTCAGCACATCGGACCTGGCCGGCTGATGGCTCCTGATGTTGCTCAACACATTGCGGGAGGTGCAATAGTACAGCTCGGCAGGTGCTTTGCTCACCGAATGGCAGGCTTCCCGTGGCGTGTGTGCGTGACTGTCCTTGCGCTTGTCTGTCTTGTGCTTGCTCTGCGCCTGCCTATGTCTGCGATTCCCCCCTTTCCAAGAGCACAATGCGCGCAGCTGGTTCAGTGATGTGGCGGAGGACAGCACCCCATCGCTGGGTCTTCACATCTTGTACACTTGCAGGCAACATCTTTTTTGAAGGCACGGGCCCATGAAGGCCGGCGGAGGCCCCTGCATTCCTGCCGCATTTGACATCTTAGGGAATAGTGCCAAAATAGCCTTCAATTACCCCGATCTTACCTGGAAGTGCAGTAGCAATTTGGTCAAGCTGACGGGTCGGCAGCCTGAGGCACTGTGAGCCTTCATGCATCTGATAGAGCATGTGCTGTGCCAGGGCGCGGATAGGCCACGGCGCTCGAATCAAATTCAGGCGTTGCAGATCTCTTTCAATGCCTCCTATGTTTGGCTTCTTAGCTGGATATGTTGCAAACTGCATAGTCACTAAGCGGGCGCCTGCATCTTAAGATCCCGTTTGCAAAGACAAGCTTATATTTCGGCTTGCATGTAGGTGTGCACGGTCTGGCAGGCACCATGAGCAACAACATGCGGCGAAGATAAGAATAACAGATATACCTGTATGCCTGCGCACGAGATTTTGCCATTTCTCATGGTTGCTACTCTCTTGAACGGAATTGGGGTACTTTACTGCAAGATGCAGTACCACTTGCAAGAATCATCGTGCTTATTACTCTTGTCGTTCTTACACACCCCCCGAAGGCAGGGAGCAGGGCCCACTGTCTACAGGATAAAATGCTTCCTATCTACTTGCCAAAATGTCCAAGAGACAAGTTTGAAGGGGTGGTATCTGTCAAGTGGCGATCCAGTGTTATCGGTCCCTCAGCCTTAACAGGGAAGGTCAGACAGCAACCATTGGTAGAATGGTAGAAGAACGTAGTTGGCGGCACTTGGCGAAGTCATGACTGTGACAATGCCGAGCTTCAACATCTGCAACTCTTTGCTCGCATGGAAATCAAAATCAGGCTACCCCTCGAAGACCACTCCCACCCACATCATGCTGAGCCTGCCTGAAGACACCAACTCAACTTAGTGTCTGGGCAGACACTAACAGTTCGAGGTAGGAAAAACACGCAACTTACCACCAGGTTGAAACTTACATCCCCTTATAAGTATTAATTATTAGTTTTATTTATGTACCTAGCACCAATTGGCATCTAGAAGATTGCCACCTGTCGCAATGCTCACTGCTCTTGTCATGATCATCGTGTACTCTAAACCCTGGCCATAGACCCTAAACCATGAACCCTGAACCCTCAGCCCTAAACCTAAACCCCGAAAGGTTAATGTGGGATTCAAGGGAGAATTTGGATTCAGGCGATCTACGTAGGTATGGCTCATCTAGGTTATGTGGGCTGACGCACTTCTTTGACAGCGCTGGTACGAACTGGGTCCCAAACCAATGTTTTGCATGAGCTTGAGGGCTGCATTAGTAACCCCAAACCTTAACCGACACCCTTGGTGGGCTGATATGCTCGTCCTGGCCTTGGTGTGTGCAAAATACGTAGGATGCAGATCCATATGCTTGCTATAGGGTTCAAGGTTAGTGTCTTTGTTGAAGGTTTACGGTTTACGGTTTAGGGAGCTAAGATGTCACAAAACGGTCTTGGCGGACGATCTTTGAGGCACTTCACAACATTGCTCTTGCACTGAATTTTGCAGGTCGTAAGAAGTAAACGGTACAGGAATATCGTCAAACATATTTGGTGTCATCTGCGCTGCCCCTCAGACTCATCCTTCATTTTATGCTGAGCTTGCCTTAAGATTCCCAAATGCACGCCATGAGTGCGACCGCCTTAGCGCTTCAGGGAGAACGGGCAGTCCTCACATAACCGCTTAAGAGTCTCCCCGAACAAGGTACCCCTAGTTTTTGGGAAAACCCGAAGCCCTAAACCCTATATATCCTTATATACCGGTGTATAAACCCCTAGAACCTCCCAATAAGGTAGCCCTGATTTTGGAAAGCCTCGTTAACTCAGACCCGAAACCCTGAAACCCAAACCCTACACCCTAACCCTGAACCCTAAACCCTCAACCCTCAACCCAAAACCCTGAACCCTAAACCAGCTCAGTGTCGGGTTAATCTAGAAGCCATGGCATGCCTGGCCATGGCACCCTGCCCCGATGGCCCATGAAAGCCGCTAGACTGCGCGTGATTGCCGCAACGGTCTGGCAGAGGCTGGGGGGGTCCAAAAGTCCAAGCCTCTAAAAACATTGGGTAGTTCCCAAAATGAAGGATATATATATATATACATGTGTATGTAGGGTTCATTTAGGGATAACGGAAAAGAAGCTGCAAGCACCTAGTTAGGGTTTAGGGTCAAGGGGCAGTTCCCAAAATTAGAGCTGAATTTTGGTAGCAGTAAAGTTTAGGTGCCAGAATATAATCTATAACCAAAAGGTGCTCATAAATTTTGACACAACCCACTACTAAACCTACTATTCTTATCGGTACTATGGTTTCCATTCTTAGTACTTCTTTTTTTGCAATTAGTATTCCCATTTCACCAGCACACCCCTCTTTTGAGAAATCCCTAAACCTTAAAACCCTAAGACCCAAAATATAAACCCTAAAACAATATAATCCTAAAGCCCTAAAACCCTAAAACCCAGAACCCTAAAACCCTAAAACCCTAAACCCACCAGTCCAACAACTCAGGTTGAGAAATCTGCGCTTAACTCCGCTTGTGCCGTCAGCGTCAGCGCACGTAGCTTGGAGGAATTTGGTAGGTTCCCTAAATTGCGGGACACCAATAGAACCCCGTGCGGTTTAGGGTTCAGAGTTTAGGGTTTAGGGCTATCATCCTTATCATGGCGACCTCCAATAAAGTACCCAGAATTTTGTGACACCCCCATTTGATCATGATGAGGCTTGTTCGTGGATGTTTGAGCCCAACATTATCTTTGGAATCTGGACTTTCTACTGCCCCCAACACAAAGCCCGAAGCCCCCTGCCATGCATGTGCCGATGGAAGGGCAGCAAGATAGATTCCCGGCTTATCCAGGACCCGAAGCTATAGTGAAATCATTTATTTCTAGACTGTAGCATGGGGGCTTTCCCGATACTGGAGGTCCGTTTTTGGGCGTGCCCGCAA